GGTGTCGATCACTCTCTCAGGCACCTACCCTGCCCCTAGAAGGGCTGGCCCATGGTGTCGATCACTCTCTCAGGTCACCTACCCTACCCTAGAAGGGCTGGCCATGGTGTCGATCACATCTCTCAGCGGCACCTACCCTGCCCTAGAAGGGTGGTCCTGGTGTCGATCACTCGTAGCACCTACCCTGCCCTAGAAGTCTGGCCATGTTTTCGATTCACTTTCTTTCAGCACCGTACCTGCCTAGTAAGGGCTGGCCATGGTTGATCATCCTTCCAGGCACCTACCCTACCCTAGTAAGGTTGGCATGTGTCGATCACTCTCTCAGGCATTACCTGCCCTAGAGGGTGCCAGTGTGACGATCACTCTCTCAGGCACCTACCCTACCTAAAGGTGGCCATGGTGTCGATATCTCTCAGCACCTACCTGCCTAGAAGTCTGGCCATGGTGTCGATCACTCTCTCAGGCACCTACCCTACCCTAGAAGGTTAGGCTGGGTCATTTAGTATTAGATTTGTCATTAAATTAATTATTGTATTAGTAGTAGTAGTAGTAATTAAATCTTATTATTATTATTTATTATTTGTATTATTATTATTATTATTAGTAGTAGTAGTAATTATATCTTATTATTATTATTATTTGTATTATTATTATTAGTAGTAGTAGTAGTAAGTATATCTTATATTATTATATTTGTAATTATATTATTATTATAGTAGTAGTAAGTTATCATTAGTTATATAGATTTGTATTATTATTATTGTAGTAGTGAGTAGTATGTATTTATTTTATTATAACTTGTATCTATATTATTATTATACTATAGGTAGTAAATATATTACTTTTATTTTATTAGTATTCAAGTATCCATAGGAATGAAGAGCCCCGATAGTATCATGGTTTTCCCCGGGGCGTGCCCTCCTTAATCACGTGCCCTTCACCGGACGGTTCCCATTAACGTGACCTCTTCCCCGACTGACCTCTCTACTCTGACGTGACCTCTCTACCCTGACGTGCTCTCTACTCTAACGTGACCTCTCTCTGACATGACCTCTCTACTCTGACGTGACCTCTACCCTGACGTGCTCTCTCCTCTGACGTGACTTCTCTCTGACATGACCTCTCTACTTTGACGTGACCTCTCTACTCTGACGTTACCTCTCTACTCTGACGTGGCTCTCTACTCTGACGTGGCTCTCTACTCTGATGTACCCTCTCTACTTTGACGTGACCTCCGTCATGAATTGTGACCTTCCTTATACATATAAAGATAGATATAATTAATTATGACTATTTAACAGCTTACAATGATAGTGTGACCTGCATTTAGTGTTAAGTGACCCCCTTTATATATACCACGTCTCCTTTAAGCCAACGAGGTCACTATAACACAACGACCTCAGTTACGCCTCGACTACCGCCTTGCCAGACGTGTCGGCATCTTCCTTTGTTAGCCGAGGCTAACCTCACTTAACATAAACAAAATACTAGTATTTACACACCATAAAAAATTGCGAGTTAGGAACCTGGTAAGAAAATTAATGTATATATATTATATATATTATAATATATTATAAATATATATATATATATATATATATTATATATATATATATATTATAAAATATATATATATATATATATATATATATATATATATATATATATAAGAACACTGTAATATAGTAACCATGTATAGTGATCATTAATATTTATTGATACTCACAAGAGCAGAATAATAATGTGATAGCAGTGTCTGGTAATTAATATTAAAGCAGAATAATAAAGTGTATAGTAATAAGTTACGGAGGAGAGTAATAATAATTCCCGTGTCTAGTGATGTGAGTAACTTCACAATACTTTGTAAATTATAAAAATAAAACACTTTTTGTATGGTTCATATCACTTCTGTTTTTCCATGTCCTTCCGAGTACTGATTAAACCTACGTTATGGATACCTGGAGGGGGTTTAGGGGGTCAACGCCCCCAGGGTCAGGTCCGTGACCAGGTCTCGCAGTGGATCAGGGCCTGATCAACCAAGCTGTTGCTTTTAAACCAACATACGAACCACAGCCCGGCTGATCAGCTACTGACTTTAGGTATCTATTCAGCCCCTCTTGAAGATAGCCAGGGGTTTATTATGATCCCCCTATGTATGCTGGGAGGCAGTTGAACAGTCTTGGGCCCCTGACATTGTGTTGTCTCTAATCGTACTTGTGGCACCCCTGCTTTTTATTGGGGGGGATGCTGCATCGTCTACTGAGTCTTGCTTTCGTAGGGAGTAATTTTTCGTGTACAGATTTGGGACTAGTCCCTCTAGGATTTTCCAAGTGTATATTTTCGTGTATCTTTCTCGCCTGCGTTCCAGGAGCGCAGGTCAGGGGACTTCCCAGCAATTGAGGTGCTTTATTGTACTTAAACGTGAAGTTAAAGTTCTCTGAATATTCTACAAGTCTGCAGTTTCGCCTGCCTTGAAAGGGGCCGTTAGTGTACATCAATATTGCAGCCTAGAGAGAACAAGCGATTTGAAGAGGATCATCAAGACTTGGAATCCCTACTTTTTAAGGGTTTTCATTATCAAAATCATTTTCCTAGTACATGTGGTAGATACATCGTTGCGATCTTTTCAAGTTGATTCTTTGACATTATCACTTCCAGGTCTTTCACATTAGTTTTCCGTTCTATTGTGTGGCTGGAATTTGTTTTATATTCCGATCCAGTTTTTATTTCCTCGCGTTTTCCATAGCGGAATAATTGAAATTTGTCTTCATTGAACTTCATATTATTTTTTGAGACCCATTTAAAGACTTGGGAGATTTGCAGTGTAGTCAATGGATGATACTGTCATGCAAATTCTGGTATCATCAGCAAAAGAGGACACGGTGCTGTGGCTTACATCTCTATGTTAGATATGAGGATAAGGATAAAGATGGGAGGAAATACTGCACCTTGTGGAACAACTAATCTCACTGTAGCCGCCACTGACCGTACTATGTTTACTATTGCTCTTTGTGTTCTATTTGACAGGAAGTTATAGATCCATCTACCCACTCTTCCTGATATTTCTTTATCACGCATTTTGTGTGATACTACACCATTTGTCGAAGGCTGTCACAAAGTCTGTGTATACGACAACTGCATTCTGTTTGTCCTCCAGAGCATCCAAGACTATGTCATAGTGGTCCAGGAGTTTGAGAAGCAGGAGCGACCATTCCAAAACCATGTCATAGTGGATGGAACAAAATTATACACTGTACACGTATTTATAATGGAACAATACACTGTATGCACGTTATAATGGAACAAAACTATACAGTGTACACGTTATAATGGAACAAAGCTATACACATGTTATGATGGAACAATACACTATACATATGCTGTAATGGTACAATACACATGTTATAATGGAACAATGCACTATACACATCAATACAACCAGGAACAAGTGGTATTAAGCAATAACACACTGTGGCTAGCCGGGGGATTGAACCCATGTTGTTTTAGTCCTCCTCGTGGGAAGCAAGTCAAAATTCACGACGCTCTAAACCACTGGACCAAACAATCCTACCAACATTATGTGCCTAGCGACCTAGGCTTCCTTCATGATGCCAGGACATACGTTGGTGTGACAACCTCACAGCTAATTTATTCTACTCCCGCTTGATGTCGCTGTATAGCCCTTGTGGTTTAGCACTTCTTTATTATTATAACAATAATCCCGCTTGATATACCAGCCTTCACAACCATGAACAAGCAGTACACTATAATAATAATAATTTATTTTTACAAGTACATGTACAGGGAATATAGGCCTAGCTGAAAGCCACATGTTACGCAGAACATTTCGGGCAAATTAGGTCAATTTTGTCTCCAGGATGCAACTCACACCAGTCGACTAGCACTTGTGTACCTATTTTACTGATGCGTAAACAGGGACAGCAGGTGACCTAAGGAAACACGTCCTGATGTTTTCAACCGTACCGGTGATTCAAGAAATCGTAATACACGGATTGCAATAACCATACCCCGGCCGATTGAACATGCGTCATGTCTCAAAACTCCAGCCCGTCGCGTAGCCACTAGACCGTTGTCTGTAAACTTGCATTTGTGGAAGTGTGCCTGTGCTAACTACATGGTAGAAAATATACTAGTTGATGAATTTATTTGTGGCTAGTGTCAGTGCACGGACGGGTGGAGTTTTGAGACTCTATACGCGGGTTCAATCCGCGGGTATGGGTACCGTGATCGAACCACGTACTCGTTGGAAGCGACGTGCGATAGACAAAGACGGCTCATAGTCTATACACCTGACACAGGTAAGGTTAAGATTACAAAATTTAGGGTGAAGGTTCGTTAGTTATTTAAAAAGGTTGAGATTCGATGTTATTTTAGGTTAGTGATTTCGTTTATTTAGGTTGGATTTCGTTATATTTGAGTTGGTAATTTCATTATTTTTGGTTGAATTTCGTTATTTTTGGTTACATTCTTTGGATTTATACAACATAAATCAGTGTCCATCAAAACAACAACCTAATATTGGACATTTTTAGTAATAAATTACAGTAAAACTCAAAAGGGCTGGACATCCATAATTACCGAGCTGTTTGACCCCTAAGAGTTTAGCTCTTCCCCGTCAACATGTCAGCAGGTCATTGCCTCTCATGACGTTCAACGAGCGACAAGTAAACCAGCGAATTGGTGAATATACCTGTTAAATCATCCTTAACAGCCTCGTTAATCTCCCAATATTTATCATCATATTTATCTTCATAATTTAAGTTTACATTGCGTCATTTAAAAGTTAAATATTTACAAGTGTGAGCAGTCACTGGGGTGGCCATAAGTGCAGGAAAATATTAAAGAAAGTATTGAATTTTATATAAGTAAGATACGGGATATTATAATAGAATAATCTCCTATAAGATAAAGGTTCTAGATTCTCTTTTGTCTAGTTTAGCTTCAGGTTCTGGCTTACTCACACCTTTATTATATCATCTGATCCTTCAAAACAAAACAAATCTGCCGTGTGGAAGAAGGAAATTTTTTTGTAATGGCCTTTTTTCTCCTCCAGTGGGATTAATAAGAACCTGGAGAGCCGAGAGACAGCTGGTTATTAGTGACTGTGAGAGAGATAAGCTAACAGAGGAGAGGAGAGAAGGCTGGGAAGTGGTGAGTGCAGAGATGGCTTTAATATTTCTGTGCTGGGAATCTATACATATTTATCTAAATTAATGAAAAACAATATAAGGATTCTGTTGAAAATATATCTTCTTGAGGATTTGGAGGGATATTCTGGGTTAAGTCATTATAATATGTGTATTTTGTATATCAGTACTATGTTAGATGTTGAAAGTAAGTACTGTACGTGACCTGTTATTACCAATGTTTAAGTAAGTTTATTTTTGTACAGGTACACATAAGTACAGTTATCATACATAGTAACATGTGTAAATTACCTGGGATAACCCAAAAAGTCAGTGACTCTCTTTCCATTGAGGTCCTTGAATGTATTGTACTTGGTCCATATGGGGGAAATACGTGTTCAAGGACCCCAATGGAAGTAAGTCACTTTGTCTGACTTTTCTTTGGGTTATCCTAGGCAGCTACAGGATAGAACTGTGCTCGTGGTGACCTGTCTTCAATAATTTCTTTATCATATTTTTTTTAATTTACAATAATGTTCCAGTCGTAGTTTGATTACCCGGCTGGGCAGACGTTCAGACAAATTTCCATTAGTAGTTTATTTAGGTACAAGTACAATATGTACAATTATCATACATGGTTAAAACATGTGTGTAACTTGCCTATGATAACCCAAGACAGTCAGACAAAATGACTTATTTCCATTGAGATCCCCTGTTCACCTAGCAGTGAATAGGTACCTGGGTAATAGTTACTATAAGAAACCCATGAAGTGTCTTTTTAATATTTTTGATACTCACAAGAGCAGAATATAATGTGATAGCGTTTTCTGGTAATTAAAATTAAAGCAGAATAAAAAAGTGTATGGAATAATTTTCGGAGGAAGTAATAATAATTCCCGTTCTAGTGATGTGGAATTCAAAATACTTTGAAAATTTTAAAAAAAATAAACACTTTTTTTTGGGGTTCTATCACTTCTGTTTTTCCAGTCCCCCGAGTACTGATTAAACCTACGTTATGGATCCCTGGGGGGGGTTTGGGGGGTAAACGCCCCGGGTCGGGCCCGTGCCGGGCTGCAGTGGATCAGGGCCTGATAACCAAGCGTTGTTTTTAAAACCAACATACGAACCACGCCCGGCTGATCACTACTGCTTTAGGTATCTATTCAGCCCCTCGAAATACCCAGGGGTTTTTTATGACCCCCTATGTAGCTGGGAGGCAGTTAAAACAGTCTTGGGCCCCTGACTTTGTTTGTCTTAATCGTACTTGTGGCACCCTCCCTTTTTTATTGGGGGGGAATGGTCGTCTACTGAGTCTTGTTTTTCGTGGGAGAATTTTTCGTGTACAGATTTGGGACTAGTCCCTCTAGGATTTTCCAAGTGTATATTTTCGTGTATCTTTCTCGCCTGCGTTCCAGGAGCGCAGGTCAGGGGACTTCCCAGCAATTGAGGTGCTTTATTGTACTTAAACGTGAAGTTAAAGTTCTCTGAATATTCTACAAGTCTGCAGTTTCGCCTGCCTTGAAAGGGGCCGTTAGTGTACATCAATATTGCAGCCTAGAGAGAACAAGCGATTTGAAGAGGATCATCGAATGACTTGGAATCCCTACTTTTGAAGGTTTTCATTATCATATCATTTTCCTAGTACATGTGGTAGATACATCGTTGCGATCTTTTCAAGTTGATTCTTTGACATTATCACTTCCAGGTCTTTCACATTAGTTTTCCGTTCTATTGTGTGGCTGGAATTTGTTTTATATTCCGATCCAGTTTTTATTTCCTCGCGTTTTCCATAGCGGAATAATTGAAATTTGTCTTCATTGAACTTCATATTATTTTTTGAGACCCATTTAAAGACTTGGGAGATTTGCAGTGTAGTCAATGGATGATACTGTCATGCAAATTCTGGTATCATCAGCAAAAGAGGACACGGTGCTGTGGCTTACATCTCTATGTTAGATATGAGGATAAGGATAAAGATGGGAGGAAATACTGCACCTTGTGGAACAACTAATCTCACTGTAGCCGCCACTGACCGTACTATGTTTACTATTGCTCTTTGTGTTCTATTTGACAGGAAGTTATAGATCCATCTACCCACTCTTCCTGATATTTCTTTATCACGCATTTTGTGTGATACTACACCATTTGTCGAAGGCTGTCACAAAGTCTGTGTATACGACAACTGCATTCTGTTTGTCCTCCAGAGCATCCAAGACTATGTCATAGTGGTCCAGGAGTTTGAGAAGCAGGAGCGACCATCCAAAACCATGTCATAGTGGATGGAACAAAAAATTTTACACTGTACAAAGTATTTATAATGGAACAATACCCCTGTATGCACGTTATAATGGAACAAAACTATACAGTGTACACGTTATAATGGAACAAAGCTATACACATGTTATGATGGAACAATACACTATACATATGCTGTAATGGTACAATACACATGTTATAATGGAACAATGCACTATACACATCAATACAACCAGGAACAAGTGGTATTAAGCAATAACACACTGTGGCTAGCCGGGGGATTGAACCCATGTTGTTTTAGTCCTCCTCGTGGGAAGCAAGTCAAAATTCACGACGCTCTAAACCAGTGGACCAAACAATCCTACCAACATTATGTGCCTAGCGACCTAGGCTTCCTTCATGATGCCAGGACATACGTTGGTGTGACAACCTCACAGCTAATTTATTCTACTCCCGCTTGATGTCGCTGTATGCCCTTGTGGTTTAGCACTTCTTTATATTATAACAATAATCCGCTGATATACCAGCCTTCACAACCATGAACAAGCATACACTATAATAATAAATTTATTTTTACAAGTACATGTACAGGGAATATAGGCCTAGCTGAAAGCCACATGTTACGCAGAACATTTCGGGCAAATTAGGTCAATTTTGTCTCCAGGATGCAACTCACACCAGTCGACTAGCACTTGTGTACCTATTTTACTGATGCGTAAACAGGGACAGCAGGTGACCTAAGGAAACACGTCCTGATGTTTTCAACCGTACCGGTGATTCAAGAAATCGTAATGACACGATTGCAAATAAACCATACCCCCGGCCGGGATTGAACCCGCGGTCATAGTCTCAAAACTCCAGCCCGTCGCGTTAGCCACTAGACCAGATTCGTCTGTAAAAACTTGCATTTGTGGTCACAGAGGTGCCTGTGCTAACTTTCCTATGGTGTAGAAATATACCTAGTTGGATGAATCTTATTGTGGCTAGCTGGTCTAGTGGCTAACGCGACGGGCTGGAGTTTTGAGACTCTATGACCGCGGGTTCAATCCCGGCCGGGGGTATGGTGTACCGGTGATCGAACCACGTACCTCAGTGTGTGAGCTGAGTGCGCTACCAACCCAGCTACGGAACATTGCATCATGTCTATACCCTGACACAGCTTGTTAATTCTTGTGGAAGTTGTTATTTTGCAAGACATTAGAAAAAATATATATTTGGGACGTGCAGGACGTGAGGGCCAATCAACGTCTAGTATTGACACTCTTGGCCAAACAGCACGAGTCGAGTATACACCGCTGGCGGAGTAAGGTTAAGTTACCCAAAGTTTAGTTTGAAATTTCGTTATTTTAGGTTGAATTTCGTTATTTTAGGTTGGATTTCGTTATATTAGGTTGAATTTCGTTATTTTAGGTTGAATTTCGTTATTTTTGGTTGAATTTCGTTATTTTTGGTTACATTCTTTGGATTTATACAACATAAATCAGTGTCCATCAAAACAATAACCTAATATTGGACATTTTTAGTAATAAATTACAGTAAAACTCAAAAGGGCTGGACATCCATAATTACCGAGCTGTTTGACCCCTAAGAGTTTAGCTCTTCCCCGTCAACATGTCAGCAGGTCATTGCCTCTCATGACGTTCAACGAGCGACAAGTAAACCAGCGAATTGGTGAATATACCTGTTAAATCATCCTTAACAGCCTCGTTAATCTCCCAATATTTATCATCATATTTATCTTCATAATTTAAGTTTACATTGCGTCATTTAAAAGTTAAATATTTACAAGTGTGAGCAGTCACTGGGGTGGCCATAAGTGCAGGAAAATATTAAAGAAAGTATTGAATTCTATATAAGTAAGATACGGGATATTATAATAGAATAATCTCCTATAAGATAAAGGTTCTAGATTCTCTTTTGTCTAGTTTAGCTTCAGGTTCTGGCTTACTCACACCTTTATTATATCATCTGATCCTTCAAAACAAAACAAATCTGCCGTGTGGAAGAAGGAAATTTTTTTGTAATGGCCTTTTTTCTCCTCCAGTGGGATTAATAAGAACCTGGAGAGCCGAGAGACAGCTGGTTATTAGTGACTGTGAGAGATATAAGCTAACAGAGGAGAGGAGAGAAGGCTGGGAAGTGGTGAGTGCAGAGATGGCTTTAATATTTCTGTGCTGGGAATCTATACATATTTATCTAAATTAATGAAAAACAATATAAGGATTCTGTTGAAAATATATCTTCTTGAGGATTTGGAGGGATATTCTGGGTTAAGTCATTATAATATGTGTATTTTGTATATCAGTACTATGTTAGATGTTGAAAGTAAGTACTGTACGTGACCTGTTATTACCAATGTTTAAGTAAGTTTATTTTTGTACAGGTACACATAAGTACAGTTATCATACATAGTAACATGTGTAAATTACCTGGGATAACCCAAAAAGTCAGTGACTCTCTTTCCATTGAGGTCCTTGAATGTATTGTACTTGGTCCATATGGGGAAGTACGTGTTCAAGGACCCCAATGGAAGTAAGTCACTTTGTCTGACTTTTCTTTGGGTTATCCTAGGCAGCTACAGGATAGAACTGTGCTCGTGGTGACCTGTCTTCAATAATTTCTTTATCATATTTTTTTGAATTTACAATAATGTTCCAGTCGTAGTTTGATTACCCGGCTGGGCCAGACGTTCAGACAAATTTCCATTAGTAAGTTTATTTAGGTACAAGTACACATATGTACAATTATCATACATGGTTAAACATGTGTGTAACTTGCCTATGATAACCCAAGACAGTCAGACAAAATGACTTATTTCCATTGAGATCCCCTGTTCACCTAGCAGTGAATAGGTACCTGGGTAATAGTTACTATAGTGTAATAATAGATGGTGGGGGAGGGAATACACAAAAGCAGCAGTTAAAAACAGTTAGACTAACACAGTTATGCATAACCAAGGCAGTTTGCTAGTGGTAAAATCTTTGGCAGTGTGCTACAATTATAAACTTGGCGCAGTAACTGTGCACACTTTTTGCTTAATTTCTGGAGACCCCTGAGCTGCAACCCCTAAAGCTTAACCTGGTCCTGGTACTAATTGAAGTGAACACAACATCACTGTTGTGTTGTTTCTGGGCCACAGTAAACTGTGGATAACTGAAACCGCGGATACTGAATCTGTTGATACGGGGGTCTTGCTATGTGTACTATGTTTTTTGTTGCCTTGTTATTTATGCAGCCCTTTACTAAACATAATAAATGCTCTTGTTTTTCAGGAATGGAATCCCCTAAGAGCTGCTTGTTTTCAGGTTCACCTGCATCTTCAAGAAGAATTTTTTAAGTGATTGTCATGGAAACATTCTTGGCAGAAACTCAACCTTGTTATAAATTAGGAAGAAATTTTATTAAAGCCAACAAAATTAAGAGATAGAATTATGACAGTAAAGACTTTGTGCTACAGGAAAGTCTATATAAACTGCCTTTTCTAAATCTCTGTAAAGTGTATTCCTAACATAAATGGTTAGGTCCATCGGTATGGCTTCGAGTGACCTAGAGAGCGGGCAGTCATGCTTGCCGCCCAACCCGCCGCCACGGCCAAGAGTCTGCCACCACCACCATCACCACGACTGTGAAGATGAGATGACCCCAAAGCAGAAAGCGGACTTTGCAGTAATCAAATTTGTAGCTGGGCTGGTACTGACGGTGATGAGGAAATTTTGGTTTACATCTGGAACAGTGATTATTTTAATATTTGTACTTTTCTGGCTGTATGGAGGATTCCTGGCCTTTGTTCTCCTTCTCTTTGCCTTCTCAGGTGAGAAAGAAAAAAATGGCGTTTAGTTTTGTATATCCATAAAGAAACAGTTCAGCTCTTGTCAGAATTTGATTTTATGTACAATATGTATTAATGTTTATTTATAAATAATATAAATTGAAACTGTCAGCAGAATAATAAATAATTCTGATCTGTGTATTACAGTATTAATCATTTGGTAAATTATTCACAGTTTACTATTATAATTTTATATCTCTCATTATTTTCCTTCATATTTGTCAACTTGGCATTCTCACATTAAGATATTTTACCTGCAGGAGTAGTTTACCAGATCAGCGACCTGCTTGTCTATTGGCCCAACTTTCCCCCGGACTCTCGCGTGTTAGTGCAACCTCCCTCCTCTATTGGCTTGCCATCAGAGAACCTGTTTTTGTATGCACGTGATGGGACCAAACTTCATGCCGTTTTTGTCAAGCAGGATTCCATGGCTGTGAAGTCTGCACCAACCTTTGTTTATTTTCATGGCAATGCAGGGAATTTGGGTCATAGGTGAGTTTGTGCATTTTTTTTAAAGGGTATTGTGTGATACTCTTATCAATAGCTTTACTAAAATCCAAGTAAATAATATTGTATTCTTTATCATGAAAGTTAACCATCTGTGTGCAGAAGTTTTAATACATTGCAAGAGATACTATACTTTCAATTATGTACTCGCCCATATATGGTTGCAAGGATCGAGTCCTGGCTCCTCACGCCACCTCTCAAATTGTCCCTTGCCAGATTCACTCCCTGCTAGTCTTGTGGGCACTATCACACCTGCTCTTAAAATGTATGGAGCCTGTCTTCATCAGGGTCATTCCACATCCAGACTATCCTAAGACTGAGGAAATACTTCGACATCCCTGTGGCTCGGTAGCCTGTCCTATTCTACCCTATCAATTCCTCTGAATATTTTGTATGTTATTATGTCTCCTTGGTCCTTCTGTCCTCCATTGTCATTAAATTAATTTCATTAATCTTTCTTTGTAGCTCATAGTTTAGTACTTTGTTTTGATTGTAATAATAATTTGTTGCTCATATCCCTTAGTTCTGAAACTAGTCTTGTTGCATACCTCTACTTTCTCGGGTGTGGGTTCAGTGCTGGTGCTGCATGCTCCAAGATGGGTCTGGCATATGTTGTATAGAGGGGCCAGAATGTCTTTGTTGAGGTTCCTGAAAACTACTCGCAGATTTGCCAGATGAATATTGGCTTCAGAGACTATTTGGTTGATTTGAGTCTCTGGGAACATATGCTGAAAATGGCAGTGCTTCAGTGCTTATCAGTTCTTACCTTCCTGTTTCTACCAGTGAATTCTGTCCCCTGCAATATCTTCAAGATCTTCCACCTCACCTTTGACAGGATTTAAGACCCCATTCTCATGCTGCAGCTTCATATCATTCCAGACCATGGAGCTGCTCTTCTCCAGGCTGAAGGGCTGACTACCTCAATACTATTTCTCCAAGGTTGATGGACTAATTACATCATCATCATCATTTCACTACTGCCTCTGTATTTGACTGAAGAAGCCACTGTGTAATAGAAACTTTTCAACAATAAAGATACTCGACTGTTCCACGTGTGCCTTACTCGTCAATTCTGGCAACATGCTGGGAACTGTGCTCACCCCTAAGTCTTTTGCTCTGAGTGAGGTCTACAGCTTCAATCTTCTGAATTTGTACTGTGTCTGGTCTTCTGGCCTCTTCCCCAATCTTACATTTGCTGGGGTGAATGCCATAAGTCTTATTATTTTCCATTGTCATTCATATAAGATGCCATGGAATTGGCTGTTTGAAAAATGCCTAATTACCCTTTAGTGCAGCTGTAAATACATGACATTTGTAAAATGAAGGTAATGGAGGTACATCATGATTCATATGATTGTGAACACATTAAGTTCAAGTAGCAAAGGTAATGGTGAGTGTGTTGACTCAGTGTGTAAGGAGTTACATGGCCTTAAAAAAAAGTTTGGGAACTACTGCCCAAAAGTGTTTCAGCAAAATTGAGGTGGTAGTGGAACAGTATTATTTTTTATCTTTTATTAAACCTCAGAATGAGTGGGGTTTTAACCCATGACAAGTAAGTCTTAAAACTGCAGGTCAGTGCATAAGCCTCTCGGCCAGCTGGCCTGGCCTAGCCTGAAGTTTTAAGACCGTTCTCCTTAGGTTTGAACCCCACCCCTATCTTTTTTGAAATGTAGTGTAGGTGTGCCTTTGAAAAGACAGTGGAGTAATTGATGATGAAGGTGTTTCTTCTTTTTCAGATCACCCTGCCTTGGTGGGAAATGGCCATTGTTAAAAAAAAATAGTTGATCTCTTCTGGAATTACCCATTATGCTGTACTTTATTCTGATTTAATGATTTTTATACATGTACAGGCTAAGCAATGTATATGGAATGTATCGATGGCTTGGCATCAACCTGCTGTTGTTGGAGTACCGTGGCTATGGACTGAGCGAGGGCACACCCTCTGAAGAAGGGCTTTATCTTGATGCTCAAGCTGCTATATCCTACCTCAAGACAAGATCAGATATAGATCAAAATAAAATAATAGTATTTGGTAGATCATTAGGTAAGAAATTTTTTATGATTTATTATACATGACATACTTGTATCTCTCATTGACAGTGAATCTTTAAAACTGTACTTGCAGCACTGTATGACCCTAGTGAGTCATACAGATGCTTCTTGCTTTACTGTGGTTTGACTTACAATATTTTGACTTTACGATGGTGGAATAGCAATACACATTCTGTACTGTACATTTATTGATAGGATAAACTTTTATTCATTTATTTACTTTTAAATGCGTACTGGTATTTAGTTACAGTAATTATTTGTTTATTTATTATTCAATAACAGTAGTTATTTATCATATTCAACTTGGGATATTTTCACTTTATGATGAGTTCATAAATGAAACACTTGTGCAGCATTTATGTATCTTTATTCTGGAAACATTTTACCAAGCAGTGGCTTCTTCAGTTCGAGGTCAAGGGACCGATTACTTCAAACTCCTCTTCCACCTTTCTCTGCATTGGACTGAAGAAGCCACTGCATGGCAAAACATTTTTGGAATAAAGATACCCAAATGTTCCACAAGTGTCTCGTTTGTTTACACTTGCTATGGGTTCATCAGAACATAACCCCATCGTAAAGAAAGGAGCACCTGAAATTCTGAAAAATATGACGTGGTTGGTTCGTATAGGAGTTTCTTCAAAGGATTGAGGCATAAGAGGTAATGAGGTATTATGCAGTATTTAGGTATCATTGTTATAAATGCATATACTGGTATAAACTTGACATGCTGTTGCAGTGTGAGCAGGGTAATGTATATGAAGGGATTCAGGGAAACCGGCAGGCCGGACTTGAGTCCTGGAGATGGGAAGTATAGTGTCTGCACTCTGAAGGAGAGGTGTTAGTGTAGCAGTTTTATAACTGTAGTGTAAGCACACCTCTGGCAAGATAGTGATGGAGTGAATGATGGTGAAAGTTTTTCATTTTTGGGCCACCCTGCCTTGGTGGGAAATGGCCATTGTGTTAATAATAAAATAATAAAAATAAACCTTGGTAATAGATATTGACAAATTGGTTTAGAAAGACATGTTAGCAAACACTAAGACATATTTATTAGACAATGTTTCATTCCTGTAACCCCTGATCACTCTAGAAGTGACTGAAGCTTTTTCCATTAAGAACATAAGAATGGAGGAACATTGCAGTAAACCTACTCTCCCATACAAGGCAGGTTCTTCTCAAAACCAACCATTCCCACCCACCTATTTGTCCAACTTTTTCTCAAAGCTACCCAAAAATTTGCTTCAGTACCTCAGGTACTAATCAAACCCAGCCCTTTTCACTTGTATATTAGGGTATGGTGTTCCATGAATAAGCATAGCATTGTTAGGTAAAGAAGTTATTATGAACTGAGCAGTGACTAACAGAAGAACATAAATTTTGAGGTGGAGCAGTGGCCGTGGACTGTGTGAGCCGGACAGAGATCAGCAGCAGAGTGGCAGGAGTGGTGATTGAAAATACTTTTACATCTATACCAGATATGGCCAAGGTGCTCTTCTCTGGTGTGAAAGTTCTTGCTAAATTACCTCACTGGTGTCACAAGAATAAGGTTAGTTTATATTCTGCTAATAAGATGGCTTGTATATCTCCTTGAGAATTATTCTATTATTGTATCTTTCTTTTTATGACACATTCCTTCAGGATGTTTTTTTTTTTTTCACATTTCAAGCTGAGTAGTCTTTGTTGTCAGTATATTAGAAGATCCATGCAGTTTTAGTGTTTTTTGTGGAGATGTTTTGCAGTTTTTGAGCTGTAATACTGGCACACCTCTGGCAAGACAATGTTGGAGTGAGTGATGATGAAAGTGTTTTCTTTTTTTCATTTTCATGTCACCCTGCCTTGGTGGGTAACAGCCTGTGTGTTAAAATACAACAAAAAATAACATTTGAGAACAACAATATTTTTAATTTGTAAATGCTATCTTCTGTGTCTCCACAGTACCTGTCTAAATACAAAATGTGCCGAGTGGTAGTGCCAACGTTGTTCCTCTCGGGCCAGGCTGACTCCCTGGTACCTCCCCGCATGATGATGGAGTTGTACCATTGTTGTGCTTCGCCAGCAAAACGTCTTATGCAGTTCACTCAAGGTTCACATAATGAGACCTGGAAATGCCCTGGGTATTATCAAGTGTTGGCTCACTTCTTGGATGAGGTAAGTTTTGCCAGCATGGCAGGGCCCAGCATATACAACACCATCTTTTCGGTGTTCCACATTTTTGTTGGCTTCAAATAGAGCCGTTGTTCATTATGTTCCAGCCACTGGCGATTCTTACCAGAGGGCGGAACAGTGGCTCAATTGAAAGCCAACGACAATATGGAACATTGAAAATAGGTGCTTTGTATGTGGGGCCCTCCTGTATATAATTGGAAAGAATAAGCTGCAGAACTGGGGGCTGGAACAGTTAATATCTAACCCACAATTTGGAATGGACACTTGGAGAAAATTAAGGTTCATTATTAAACTCCTTCACAATGGTTATGGACAAACTGACTTAATGTAGCGTGTGCATGTTCATTGTTACTGTCGGTTTGTTGAGGTTCCTGAAGGCTACTCGTAGATTTACCAGATTAGTATTGGTTTCAGAGATTATTTGGTTGATGCGATTCTCTGGCAACATGTTAGGAACTTCAGGTGTGGCTGCTGCCATTAGAGTCAAACAGTCAATAACTCTGGATTGATTGTCATTGTTTGATTTTCTTTTCAAGGTGTTCAAGAGGACAACACAGCCTCCTGTTCTACACCCAGGTGTGGTGTGTTTCTCTGAGCCACAGACTCTGTAGCACCTGCTGGCTGATGAAATGACAATGGTATTCTAAAAGGATAATTGCACTAGCTGTTAAATAAATTTTATGCCTTCTGTGAAGGAGGCATTCTTCGAATGATTTTTTAACAGATAAGTTTTACCCATTTGTTCGTAAGCAAAAGTTGTATTTATGCCATAGAAGTTTTTTTCATTTTTAAGGATTTTTAGCTGTATTTTATACTAGTCTGTCAGGTGAAGGAATACTTAAATTCACTCAGCTCTTGAGAAATGAGCAAGGGCCTGATCAAGTTGCATTCAATTCAGTTTTTAATGTGACTGATCTGTGGAAATTGTAGCATCATTAAGTATAAATGAACCTTCATTGTATTTCTGAATGCATAGGTTCACATTGGAGTGCTCTATATATTACTCACTCTTAATTGAAGATGAAAACAAAAAAAATATGTAATTATAAATAATAAAGGCTTACAGAGACTATAAAATACTAAAAAAAATAATTCTTAATGGTTCATATTTGAGCCTACAAGGGGATTTCCAGTTTCATTAGGAAATTTTTAAACTAAATGCACTATGATAAATATTAACAATAGATGATTGCTTGAGATACAGAACTATTGAACAAATATACGGGATTTTCAAGTGAATTGTCATGTCTGATAACATGAATGTAAGGAAACAGATTTTCCTTATTATGGATTTTTTTTGTAACGAGTCATACACCATAGAATCTACACAATACTTATTATACTCTAAGGGGTATTTAAGAAAATAAAGATCCTGGATTAGGATAAATATCAATCCTGCTCAATAAAATTCAAACCATATCTAGAAATTCACATGTATGTTAATGTGATTCTGTCTAGCATTACATTACTAGGTAACACCAATAAAATGCAGAGTCGTTAGGTGAATGAATACACTTGCAACTAATAAGACAGTTCTTTGAGGGGAAACTCATTAGCACTTAAAGTTTAAAGGTGACGAGATGTACTTCCCAGTTATTACACAGAATCCAACAAATGTCTTAATAGTTGCACATGTTGTTGATCTAATATGTTGTTGGTATTTTACCAATACAAACTCAAGACTACAAGGTGTAGAGAGATGCTCTCCAGCATGAGGTAACAACTGTATTCTCCTTGGTTACATAAACCAGAGTGAGTTACACTCACAACATATTAATCTCATTCTTTATAGTGTGGAGGGAATTTGGCAGAAAGTTCATGGGAACTTGGATTTGGCATGCACAAGGTAGTGCAAACAAGAATTTCTTTTAAACTTCTTTTAAGCATTTAGACAATAATTAAAAATGTGGTATGTCAGAAAATGCTTCAAACTGCTCTGACTTATAAAGCAATATGATATAATGTGAGTCGATGTTTGGGGTACAAATCTGTGAGTGTAAAATATAAACCAATGCAGGAAACCCCTATGGGGCACATGAGAGTATGACTAGCTTGTGTCCAATACATATACAGCATCTTCTTTTCAGTGTTCCATGTTTTCATTGGCTTCAAATTGAACCATTGTTCATTATGTTCCACCTGCCAGTGACTGCCCCCGGCTCGTGGAACAATAGCTCGATTGGAAGGCAACGACAATGTGGAACACCAAAAATAGCTTCTATATATGTAGGGCCCTCCTGTACCTGTGATGGTCTGTGTCATAGATCAGCTCAGTGTGGATAATCCATGGAAAAAAAATAATGTTCAAACTAGCAATGTTTAACCATGTGCTCTTCTGTTTACCCATGGATATAGATTTTGGTCATGTGATAGTTTTAAAAAATGCAACTGGGGTAAAAATTCCTTATAAATGCTGTATTTGTTATTTTGTGATTTAAAATAACAAATTCTATGAATGTTAGGAAAAATAATTGTAGGAGGGCCCTGCTTATACAACACCTATTTTTGGTGTTGCGTGCTTTTCCTGGTTTTCAGTTGAGCCCCACCGGTGACAATCACCGGCACATGGAACATAAAGAACATGAAAGAATGAGACACTTGTGCAACATTTATCTGTATTGAGAAAATGTTTCCTCAATAAAGATTCCTAAATGTTGTGCAAGTGTTTAACTTTTCAACTTGTTAGTTTTCTAAATCATTTATCACATAATGAGCACTGGCTCAATTTGAAGCCAGCGAAAATGTGGAACATCGAAAAGATGGTGCTGTGTATGTGTGGCCCTCCTGTATAGCATTATCCAATGGGGGAAATTTTCCTATTACACAGAATGCTCTTCTTCCTGGTGTTTGGGTTATAGCATTCCACTTAGCTGTATGATGCTCATAGATAGACTTGCCAAAATAACTGATGTACCTTGAGTACCTCCGTCCCAGTGATCAACATTTGTTAAGGTATCAGTCCCTCGTTCTTCTTTCCCATTGCAGCAAAGTGTGGTTGGTCTGTAGGCTGGTCCTCTTTACCAATCATTCATTAGCTTTTGTTAAGGATGAACACTTGTGCTATAAAGAAATCTTGAATGTGCTCTGTTAATTATATTAAGAAAAACCTGACACAGGGTATCGGTTGTATGCATTTGTAATTACCTGCATTATTTTGCTTTGTATTTATGCATACAAGAGTACACAAATTTTTCATTGCCAGTATGTGTGTTTGTGCCATGGAAAGTAAATTAATAAGCAATCTTCAGCGAACTTCATGCACGGTAGTTCTCTGTAAGATTTATTATTTGTTAAAGTTAACTTGCGTAAGATAACGGGCAGTAAATGGTGTGTATGCAAGTCTCTCCAATAGATTCTTATATTGTTCTCAGATTTTTCTAGTCCTTCCTTCGGTGTCCTTTTAAACTATCCATGACACTAAAGGCAGTTGAAATATCTGGGGATGATTGTATATAAGGCCAGCCTCACAAGAAAGAGTTTGCAGAGGGCAGAAAGCAGCATTGTTAGTGTGAAGACAAAGATAAAAGTTACAGAAGAATCTCTTATTGAGACATTGGTGTACTCTGTCTAGGACTTCATAAAGTCATGACTTGATAAAGCTCTACACAGAGCAAAATATTGGCTTAATTAAAGCTTGTTCTGCAACTTTTGTGTAAGTTTTCACACTAGTTGACAGTATAGCAACTCATTTAAGTCATAGCTTCCCTTCCTGGTGCTTGTAGCCAGAGCTGGATCAAGATTTTATAGACCCCTGGGCTACAAGTACTGTGAGGCCTCCAGTGATATTTTCAAATTGAAAAAAGTTTAAGAAATGTGAAATTTAATTTCACAATTAAAATTCAAACATTTGCTTTACATAATTTCTTGGAAACAGTTTTCTCCAAAACATCAGTAAATTGTAAGTTGATAACATCTCTGGAGGCCCTCCAGCTGGCAGAGGGCCCCTGGGCTGCAGCCCCTAAAGCCCATGTCTTAATCCAGCCCTACTTCTAACTCGCCTTCAGGTCATCTCGCTCACTAATACACAAGTCATTTAAGTCTTGGATTTATTTCTCTACATTTTTGATGCCTCTTTTCCTGTTATCTCTAAGACCTTCCTTTTGGTATTTTATATTTTACTGACATTTTAGTAGTGTACATCGTCATTGGTACTGTAAATTTTGTGGAATAAGTTAACAGGTAACCAAGAAATTTGAAGACATTTAAGGAGTTCAGGTCTTAGCACTTGAAATAGATTTGAAGAAAGTTTACGGGCAAGCAAGTTCCCATGTCTTCTAATAAAGTGTTCATTTTTCCCTGTAATCTACCATACCATGAATTAAGGAAAGACCCTAGACTTCACCTTACGAAAGCAAAGTAAATACGATAGTAATTATGGACAAGGTAAATTATGGGGAAAATGAATGTACATGTATTAGGAGACAGCGAAACTCGTGTGTTCTTTATGGTGTTCAGATCTTAGCACTTGAAATAGATTTGAAAAATAAGCTGATAAACACTATTAATGATGGTTTTTATTACTTTTTATCATTTAATAAGAGTCAAGCCAGCTTTTTAACAGCTTAGCTGGAAAGACTATTTAGGTTGATCAGTGGATTTTTTGAAGATAAGTAGTGATGTAATTTTTTTTTAATTGAATGACGTGTTGTGTGATATTTTTATATATAATAAATTTGGATGCATTAGCAGTGTGCTGCTACCCTACACACTATGATAATTATATAGCAGAAACAACATTCTGCCATGTTTTCTTGTCATACTCTCTCATACAGGTTTTGGGAGAGTGTGGGAATTGGGTGTCTGGAGGAGTGTTTGGAATCCTGGAAAGAAGAATGACTTAAGAGGAGATAGATGGAAGTGCACTGATGGGTAGAAACAGTGCCAAGTACTGCACCTGTTGAGTTATGATTTGTGGTCTCTATGATTGTGTGTGTTTGAGGACTTGTTCTCGCAAGTGACTTTCAGTCGGAAGTTTGGGCCACATTTTAAGTTATTTTTTATTCGTATCGCTGTATATTTCAATTCAAGATTCAGAATATAATATATTTTCTGGCATATAAGGCACATGACAGAAGTATCATAACAGTAAATCAGAAATCACATTCAAGGGCTAATTACCCTCTTGCTTTATACTAAAGCTTAACACAGACTACCCTTGACCCTGACCTTGAGCATATAAGGCACAAGCTGATTTTCCAAGACTTTTTGTGGGGAACACAGGTGCACCTTATTTTCCGGAAAATACAGTATGTTAGGACTGTGCATGTCGAAGCATTATGGGGAATGGTATTAAAGTTTGTAATATTGTACCAAATTCAAATGGTCTACTTAGAAATTTATTTATTTTTTTATTTATATGTGAATAATTAATGTAATTTAAATTTTTTTATACTGTACTATACTTGATAATTGTATTCTTTGTTGAAGCGCAGTTGGTCTTAGTTGATATCGATTATTTTCATAGCTTTATGCTGGGTAACTGTTTTAATAGTTGAACTTACAAGTAGGAGTGATAGTCAAAATTTGTTTTAAGTGGTGGATGGTTAAGAAAGCATTCACTGCACAGTTACTTTTTTTTTTGACTAGAAAAAGCTGGATTTTTTTTTCCTTGATTTTGTTCATGGGGTTTTCACATTCCATAGAGTTTTAGTGAATTCTTGAAAGCTTAAATATAATCCCAGGCAGCTGGTCCAGTTGGCTGCCAGTCCAGCTGGTTTAGGGAAGTGACAGATTATTCCACTGGAAATGAATTTTAGCTCCATTAATTGGCTCAGCAGTTCACTACCCATCCCAGTGGTGGCACCATTATGTATTGTAATTTTACCCCATTTAATTCTTTTCAATTTTGCTGATACTGGAGAGATTTCTTCTCTTGGTCATTTATTACATCTGATATGTAGGTGCTTGACAAGGCACTAAGAGAAAGATAAAGATATAAAGATTATGAAGATAAAGAGAAGGGAGAAGGAGAAAGGGAAGAGGGAGCGACTGACTGACCTACCCACCCACCCACCTCCCAAATTATGTAGGTTGTTAATAGCAAGTGAATGACAACAAAACCTGCAGCCAATACAGTTGTGTGACAGTGTTCCAGAAAACATGTGATGCATCAATAAATTTCAAAAAAAACAGTTGACAAAATTATTTAAGCGTTAAAAAAACATGCAAACGCAGCAATGGCATGGCAGTTGTTTTTTAACAGTTAAGAGCAACCATTCTTGCATATATTATGCTGTAATAACACATTTCCCATACCACCACCTACCCCACGTGATGTACTATAATAAATTAAGTCGGTCTTGATTAGTGTGAATTTCCAGTGAGTGCGATATTAATGCTAGTTTTTACCATACTCTTGAAACCGTTCACAAAGATTACATATATAGGAGGGCCCTGTTTATACAGCACCTATTTTTGGTGTTCCATGTTTTTGTTGGCTTTTGAGCCATTATGACTCACAAAATCATAATGACACAATTGCAAACAAACCATACCACAGGCTGGGATTGGCCTGGAGTTTTGCAACTCACTCACCACAAGCTCAGTACTAGCCCGTGGTATGGTTTAATTGAGCCATTGTTCATTATGTTTCATGCTCTTACCGGTGCTTTGCCGTTGTCACCATTTCGGACATTGGTTGCGTAAGGTAAGGATGGACGGCGTCACTTCAGAGCTGTGTGACCGGGTCCCTCCTGTAATTCAAATACTGTAAATTCGAATGATGTGACCACTTCATGGGATTCATTATTCACACTAATGAAGACTTAGCTGTACTGTATAAATGTGTACTGTGCAAATAGAAGAGGACAATTATAGCAGTCATTGGCAAGTGCCCTATTGTTTTTGTTTCTGAATTTTTGTGTGCGTTGAATTTTATAAAGTTTTTCATGTGAATTTTTTTTTTTTCTGTAACTCCAAGTTCCAAGCATCTGGCATGAGAGTGCTCTACTATATATAAAATAAAATTATTTTGTTAAATGCAGTAATTATTATGCCAACAAATTATTTTTTGCAAACTTCAGAAACAGAGTTGTAGTCGCCATTTCGTGGTATATTTTATGTTATTTTTACGTGTCAGTCAGTACAGTATTTGAAGGTTTATCCAAGAAACAGACAGTTTAATATTAATCATTGTCAATTAGTTCAATTATTTCATGCTTACCATACATAACTAATTATATACTCTTCTGTATTATATAGACTATATCAATGAGCTTTATTTTTAAGCTTCAGTGTAAATGAGTCTTTTCTTGTTTGTCAATGATATTTACTGTAACTGAAGTGTGTTCAGTGTATTGTACAGTAATACACAATGAGGTCACAGGTGACTATCATGAGGAAACTGATATCACATTAATATATTATGCTTCATTCGTAGTGAAGAAAGAGGGTGATGACCATAAAACTACGGGAAGGGAGGGAGTTTTTATTGCTTAAGAGATGAGTGAAGCCATTTAGAATGAAAATTGACATAAGGAAAAGATAACTATATACAAACTCTTCTGAAAAGAAAATGCAAACTACATACATTAATTAAGACAGACTAAGATGTATTAAGAGATGATCACAAAATTTACTCCTGTCCCAATTAATTAACTGAGACCCCTTCAGCAGGGTCAGTATATACATATCCCTTTTTACCTGTGTTTCAGTTTTGCAACAGAAGAGTTTCTCATTTATCAATTGTTTGCCATTTGATGCTTTAATCAAATTACAGAAGAGAATCACAGTGTAGCGAGTAGGTTGTGATGTACCGCTCATATCAAAGTGCTTCCCACTGCAGTTAATAGCATGCATACAGTATACATAGGATGTACATAAATTCTATAGTCTTTCTGCATGCATGCATACATGCATGTTATATTTACTTGTCTTCTAGTTAGGTACTGTACATGGAAATGGAGAGAAGAATGAGTCCAGGTATTGCAGGAAGATGAATGTAGTACAGTGCTGTACTTTAAAGGACTGGATTGCAGGGAAGTTGATCCCCAAAACCCTCTCCAGGTACCGTACTGTACATAATAGGAATATTAAACATGCTTTATAGACTAGAAAAATTATGACCCAGAATTATATTCTTTGTCACCAGGAAAGTTATAGAGGCAACTTTATTTTTCAACCTCTTTATTATTACTACTATTCTTTAACATGCCAGTATGTATTGGAATTTTCTTGTTTTTTCCCCAAGGAGACTCTTACACTATTTACAAGTTAGTGAATAAGATGTATGGAGGAGGGTACACAAGAAAGAATTTGAGTTCATTTGTCACATTCTGGTGTTTCATGTGATTATCCTTTCTCTTGGAATGTATTTATATTCTGCATGACGCTGCTCGTGTTGACCTTCGTCTTACTGGAACTGCGAACATTAATTTATACTGTCTCCTTGAATCTTTCTTGACTTAATAGTCTTGAAGGTGGGAAGTATAGTGCCTGCACACTGAAGGAAGGGTGGGGATGTAGCAGTTTTTTTTTTTTTTTTTTTCCATCCAAACTGTAATGTCAGCATGTTTCTGGCAAGCCTTTCTTCTTTTTCGGGTCACCCTACGTCAGTCGGAGATGACTGGTTTGTTAAAAAAAAAGTTAAGTGCAGTACCTCCTATGCCCTCTCTTACTCCACCCCCAACAAGTAGTTTAAAGTACTGTTGTAAAACAATAGCTTTTCTGTAAATGCATTAATAGATTTTACTGATACCACTAGTTCAGAATCCTGTCCTTATTGTATGTAGTTTAGCCTTTTTTATTTTTTTTTAAATTGTTGCCTTCATCCAGATATGATGAGCTTCAGTTTCTGCTATGGTGAGGATGATCGGCTCTGAACCTTGCGTGGCAGACATGCTGCTCCCAGGTGTTGAGTGTTTGCAGTCACATCTTGCATTTTAAGAGTGGGTACCTCTAGTACTCTCCAGGTTGACTTCTATTTAGTTCACCCTCATTGCAGAATAAATATTTTGTGAAAATTCATAAATATGCATTTAACATTTCTATTTTTTTTTTTTTAGTGAGAATTTATATTAAAAAAAGGAATTTGTGTATTATTCCCATCTGCTAATTAATATTTCATATGGCTTTGCGTGAAAAATAGAATTGTATGTCTATTAATGCTGTAAATTTCTGACTTTCCAGTCATATATGTGATAAAAACCATGTAATATGGAGTTTAGTCTGCCAATGTTATTCCTGTGATTTAACATACCTACTGACCTCTTGTAGATAGTCCATCCATCCTCTGTAGTGATAAAATGTGACTTGAAATTTTGACTAGTGTGTTATGTAGCATGCTTCAGAATGAGAAACATTGACTATCTCCGTAGTCAGTATAATATTAGATGTATATGCTTGTGACAAATAATGTAGGTCCAAGATTTTGTCCCCATGAGCTTTGATCCTAAATGTTAACCCACAGGTAGAGAATAAGGTGATGGAGTCCAAGTCAGTCTGTCCCTTGATAACTTAGATTTTAGCAAATTATAACTTATATGAATCGCACTAGTGCCTGGGTCCCCAACCTTGGCTTCTGATCCAAACTAAGCTTAAAAATAGAAAGGGTAACTATGTTTGTGTGTGTGTATGTATATATATGCACTGTATTATATATGTTATATACATATTTAAATTTTTCATAAGCATGAGGGCCTGAAAATCCTTCTAGTTAATAGTTTGTCAAAGCAAAAAGGTTGGGAACTACTGGTGACTAGTGAGAGATCATAAACCAGCTTAAACTACATTATTTATTAAGCAAAACTGTTGTTTAAAAATCATTGTTAGGCCATTCTAGACTTTACAGATAAAATCATGAATTACCTTTACTCATTGTGTTATCTCAGGTTATAAATGCATTACAACTGTTTTTGGGGTTTGTAATGTTAACAGCTAACAAGATGATGAGTGTTCACCATCAGAAAGTTGAGTCAGTCATTGTAGCAATGTTGGCATTGATCTTCCAGAGATGATTCTCTTCATGGCATCAACATGCAAAATACATTTGATACAATATACGTACACTATGATATAAATGGGTATAGACGGTTTAGTATACAGCAAAATATTATTCTGCCAGAAAGAACAAAAAGGCACAATACCGTGAATGGAACAATACACAAATAACCCGCATATAGGAGACAGAAACTTGTGATAACTTGCAGTCCAACTTGGACCATTTACACTAAATGGTCCAAGTTGGACTGAAATGTTGTAGTAAGCTTCTCTTCTATGAGTTATTTGTGTATTATTCCACCAGAATACTATTTATAAATGCCTATTTGTGCATCTATGATACAGTATATTGGATATTGAAGTGCATTTATATCAGTGGAATTACATTTTCGTAGTCTTATTGTGAGGATTAGCTAATTCTCAGGCCTCTTTTACTTGTGTTATGGCCAATAACAGTATAATGTTAATGCTTGTACTTCACAAGTATTGCAATGTGATAATATGGCTAATAGCAACAATGCATTTTAACCCTCTGACTGTCCAAACGTAGATCTACGTTCGCTCGCGAAGTGCTCCGAATGTAGATCTACTTTTTTTTTTTTTTTTTTTACATTCTTTCTTAGAGAGAAAATCAAGGTTGGAGCGCTACACATTCTAACGTAGATCTACGTTTGGACAGTTTAAGGGTTAATTAAGTTAAGGAAGTGGATTATTGCTTCCCATTTCTATAGTATACATTTTGTGTATACAGGTGTATAAATCCAAGATAAATCATAAGTAACTGTCAGCGAGTAAACAGAAGAATGAAGAGGCTCAGACCATAGAACAGGTGGGATTGGAATCCATGGCCAGCGAGTCGTAAAGCTCCAGGCCAGTGCGTAAGCCCCACAGTGGGGCCCAGGCTAACCCCTCTATGGTGTATAGAAATACAGTGGATCACCGGTTAACGATATTTTTTCACTCCAGAAGTATGTTCAGGTGCCAGTACTGACCGAATTTGTTCCCATAAGGAATATTGTGAAGTAGATTAGTTCATTTCAGACCCCCAAACATACACGTACAAACGCACTTGCATAAATACACTTACATAATTGGTCGCATTCGGAGGTGATCGTTATGCGGGGGTCCACTGTATACCTAGCACCTAGTTGGATGAATCTTGTTGTAGCCAGCTGGCCCAGTGACTTACACAGTGGCCTGGAGTTTTAAGACTACTCGCCATGGGTTCAAACCTCGCTCATTCTGTGGTCTGATTGCAATCATGTTATTACGATTTCATGAGTCAAGAGGCATGGTAGCAGGTCCAACAGTGTAACCATCATCCATTGCTAGAAAATTTTCTACACGAAATTCTGTGGTTGAAGAGTTGGGCCTTCTACATACATGGACCATGGTTCAAGTAACCATCCATTCTTTTTGTTTATTCATACAGTGTACATGTATTAGTGCTGTGTTTACATTGTGGCTGGGGTTGGAGCACATGTCATCCCTGCCTCATTTCGCTAAGCAGCGATCAAACCTGTTCAACTGTGAGCTCCTTAATTGGATGGAGTGATGATTTCATCCATGATTGGGGGACTTGTAGAGATGTTTTTTTCTCCCAGCAATGTGTACACAACATGTAATTTGAACTTGGGGTTATTCAAGTCTTTGAACATATACTGATGCTTCTCACCTTACAATGGTTTGACTTGTGATATTTTGACTGTATGATGGTGTGAGAGTGATGCACATTCAATAGTCATCAAACATTGAATTTTGATCTTTTATTCATTTACATGTACTGTATTAAGTTTTGAGTATTGGTATTTATAGTAATTATTTGTTTATTTACTTATTCAGTGATAGTAGTTACTTTATTCGACTAACGATATTTTCAACTCGTGATGAGATCTTCGGAATGTAACCCCATCGCATATTGAGGAGCACCTGCAGTACTGTGTATACATATGCATTACTGTGCTACACATAATCCTCAAAAAAAAATCTTTGTAGAAATACTAAAGTTTCTTTATTATAAGTGCCAATGAAGTGCTGTACATAAGATTATTGATAGCTTGGAGAAGGTGCTTAGAAAGTTGAAAAGTTTCAGTACAAGTTGCTTTATTCTGATAATGTTAAATATTGCACACAAAAAAATTCTGCTTTTTTATTAGTTTACAGATTTGACTTAATACATCAGGAAAGTAAATGAAAGCTTAAGATTAGCAAGTAGTGTTGGACTACAGATGCAAGTGAAGAACAAAGAACATTGCAGATGAAGCATTGAGAGTGAAGGATGAAGAAAGCAACTGTGTGAATGTTATGTAAATGAAGTACAGTACCACTGAAGATGGTATCAAAGATGCTGCCAGAAGCCTTTAAGGTACAATACCTTGTCTGATTATCGGAAAGTATGAAGGTGTGTGTGTGTGTGTGTGTACACCCACCCCACTTGTGGTTGCAGGGGTAGGGGTTGAGTCTTGGCTCTTGGCCCTTCTTAACCTGTCACTTTTCAGATTCGCTCCCTCTCAGCCTCGTGGGCCTTATCATACTGGCTCTTAATTAAAACTATGTATGTAATCTGCCTCCTGTATTTCCTCACCAAAATCATTCCACTTCCTGACCATTCTGACTTAAAAAATACTTCCTAACATCTGTGGCTCATCTGTGCCTTTAACTTTCAACGGTGTCCCCGAGTTCCCATTTCTCATGTCTCGAACAGCCTCTCTCTCTTTCTCTGTCTACCTTATAGCTTCAAATGAGTACTTTGTATGTTATGTCCTCTCTGGTTCTTCTGTCCTCCAATGTCATTAGGTCTAATTCCTTTAGCCTCTCCTCACAACTCATGCCCCTTAGCTCAGGAAGAAGCCTTGTTGCATACTATTTCTGCACTTTTTCCAGTGTCTTTACATGCATTTTCAGGTGTGTGGGGGTCCATACTTGTGTTGCATACCCCAAGATGGCCTAAAAAAAGTGTTTTATGAAGGTCCTGGTATGACACTGTTGAGATTCCTGAAGGCTGCTCTTAGATTTGCCAGACAAGCATCAACTGCAAAGTTATTCAACTGAAGTGAGCCTATGGTGATATACTAGGCACAATACTCACCCTTAGGTCTTTCTTTTTAAGATAGGTGTACAGCTTCTGTCCCCCTACTCTATACTGTTTCTGGTCTTGCTCCTTCCCCAGTCTTCATGACCCTTGTATTTTTTTTTTTTTTTTTATTATTTTTTTTTAATCCACACAAGGGTTTTTACAGGTTTAAGTGAAGAGTGCCAACCTTTATTTACAAGCTAAGAGCTGTTACCTACCTCAGCTCATTTGAAAGCATTTTTATTATGAAACGGATAGGAAACTGGATGCAATTGGAGCAATATCTATGGGCCTGCAATTTTATTTGGGCAGATGACTGTTTCATTGGTGTCATGCTGTATGAACATGTTCTAGACTTAGTCATTCTAGGAATGAGTGGTCTCAGACGAAGTGATAAACTTAAGAAAGGTACAGTCAGAGTGTAGTTGCTGTTTGTTGTCCATCTTGTTGTATAGAAGCTGTTCATGACCTTCCAAGTTCCCACAGGGTTATAATAATGTTGGTAGAAGTACTGACAATGTGTTATATAAAAGGACATGTGCAACTAATGCGTCACATTAGTTACACACGTGTTCTTTTACCTCCCACGGATATTCCTTGCTCAGATTATTTTTCAACGATCTCTTGACAATTCTGCAACTGACAGCAACAACATTTATCTGAGCCCAGCTGGTCCACAGCAAATTGTTTTCTGCCCAGCCATGTTTGAGTTTCTAGCTGTTGTCTTCCCACCGCTGTTGTGTTTAGGAGACTGCTTTCCTAAGTACCTACATACTTATTAGCCACACGCGCCTCATTCGTGGATACCTCGTGGAACACCCAGCACTACTGTGCGAGGACTGTCAGGTTGCACTGTCAGTTTAACATATTAGAATTCACTTTTGTTGTCTCTGCTGCTCCAGCACATTAACTCTTGCTGACCATGTTGAAAGTTCCACTAACTTTTTCACCAACTGTAATTTTACTTTTCCTCTTGCACTCTCCTCTACCCCAACTATCCCCTGTCCTTCCGCACACCTGTCTTTCATTCCCTCATCATCTTTGAGCAATCCTCCTTTCTCATATCCTTCAGTCCATTGTAAAATTTCTTGGCTAGCTTATGAGGAAGTTCCTATACTCCAAGACTGCTATTTTTCTCTTTCCAGTCAAACACACTGTTTCTATTTCCAATCTCTCACTTATGCTGGTCACAGACCGGGCCGCGGGGGTGTTGACCCCCGGAACTCTCTCCAGGTAAACTCCAGTAATGCTACTGATGTGCACATCGATAACTTTAAACCCCAATATTTTCCTATTCATATTTTTGAAGAACCACTGCTGCAGATGACTAGTATTTTTATAGCACATATATACTGTGGACACTTCTTGCTACCATCATCCACATTAACACCATGACTTGCTACCATCATCCACATCAACACCATGCCTTGATACCATCATCCACATCGACACCATGCCTTGATACCATCATCCACATCAACACCATGCCTTGATACCATCATCCACATCAACACCATGCCTTGATACCATTATCCACATCGACACCATGCATTAATACCATCATCCATATTAACCCTTTGACTGTCGCGGCCGTATATATACGTCTTACGAGGTACCGTGTTTGACGTATATATACTCATAAATTCTAGCGGCTTCAAATCAAGCAGGAGAAAGCTGGTAGGCCCACATGTGAGAGAATGGGTCTGTGTGGTCAGTGTGCACCATATAAAAAAAATCCTGGAGCACACAGTGCATAATGAGAAAAAAAACTCCGACCGTTTTTTTTAATTAAAATGCCGACTTTGTGGTCTATTTTCGTATAGTATTTATGTTGTATTCTCGTTTTCTTGGTCTCATTTGATAGAATGGAAAACATATTATAGAAATAGAGGTGATTTTGATTGATTTTACTATAAAAAGAACCTAGAAATGGAGCTCAAAGTAGGGGAAATGTTTGATTTTTGCCAATGTTCAAAAGTAAACAAATGATGCCATTGTCCAATAAAGTCTTCTATTTTTTGTTTTAATAAAAATTCAAAATAGAAAGCAAGAGTAATATCAGAGGGGCCTGGAGACGTGACTGATGAAGAAAATGTTATTTTAGAGCCAGGAATGTCTGCATTGTTCATTCTGGACCTTATTTTTAAATTGTCATATTTTTTAGTTTTCGTGAAATTGACCAAATTGCAAATTTCTGACCACATTATTAGGTAGTTGAAATCGGTAAATGGGCAGTTTCTTGTACTCAATCGATAGAAAAAAATGGAGTTCTAAAGAAATAGCTATGAGTTTGGGCGACTGGAACAAGGGAATTAGCCGAAAATAGGGCTGAAAGTGGGCGAAATCGCCAATTTGTAAACTGCGCCGAGGTCGCTAACTTTGCGAGAGCATAATTCCGTCATTTTTCCATCAAATTTCGTTTTTTTTGGTGTCATTACAATCGGGAAAAGATTCTCTCTATCATTTCATAAGAAAAAATCATTTTTTTTTTTTTAAATTTTGCGACACCAGGAGACACCTCAGGATTGGGGGTTGCGACAGTCAAAGGGTTAACACCATGCCTGTCTTATTTGCTATAGTCTCTCATAAGTGTGCATTGTAGGTGAACCAATTCTTTCATTTTTTCATACACACTTCCTCTGTTATATTGTCTTAATCATCAAATAACTGTTTCAGATGCCACCACTATTGACTTGCTGACTCAGCTCTTCTTACTCAGGGTACTTGCTACCTTGAAGGCAAATTCTGATTTCTTATTTGCTACATAAATTAACCCCCTTCTTCTCTCATCCTTGCCATGAGGTGCTGAATGATCACAGTTTTAGGGCTTTCCTTGAATGTAATTTTTTTTTTTTTTAAAGACGTAGGCCATTTCCCACCGAGGCAGGGTGACCCAAAAAAGAAACACATTCACCATCACTCACTCCATCACTGTCTTGCCAGAGCTACACCAATATACTACAGTTCAAAAACCGCAACATATCCACACCCCTCCTTCAGAGTGCATGCACTGTACTTTCCACTTCCATCTTATTGTATTCAGTTCTGGTTGTGTTGCATCCGCTGTAGACATACAGGAATCCTTTGCTGTGTATGTTCCATTTTGGTGTTCAGGGCAGTGAATTTGTATACTCCTTTTCACATTTTGCAGTTAGTCTTATTATTCTGCAGGCAGTTACTTTTTTTCCAACTGTTTCTTAGTACTAACTCTACATTAGATTGATGGTAGAGTTAAGATGATCAACTAACTGCATTTAATCAAATTGCACTTAGGCTTGTGGCCATCCCCACTTCACTGCTGTTGGTTGTGGGTAACACTCTCACAAGTGCTTTGACATGTCATGGCTTGCTAGTCCTGTCATGAAGAGAAGCAGAGGTCCAGCATCACTACGAGAATTTTTAGGTTGTGCTGATAATCTTCTGTCTTCTGTGAGCACAGTGCTCATTTTCAACCTCTTTTACAGAGATGTAAAATTTGGTGCTTATTATTATTTTATAATCAGATTAAGAGGCATGCCAGTTGTACTCTGTTTTCCTTTATGAAAATCTTTTTTTAAACCTTCAACTGTCCAACGTAGATCTACATTTTCACAAGTAGCATTTCGACCTTGATTTTCTCCATTTGAAAGCATGTAAAAAAACGTAGATCTACGTTTGGACAGTTTAGGGGTTAATGTAGACTAACTTTATAACTGAAGTTGATTTACTGTCATTGACTTTAAATACCTGAATTCTCCTCACCTCCAGCACTTCTGCCACTTATATCAGCTCCTTCCCTTTACTGTCACACCAACCCTCTGATTTTTTTGTCAGCAACAGATTTGTTATACTAACTTTAATTATACTTCCTTTGGCACTCCTCACTGCCCTTCCTAACTTTACCTCTTATGCTCTTAACCCTCACTGGTCTCTGGTCAAGCATATTAAACCTTTAGCACACCCTACCCTGCAGTGCTGTATGACTCTTAAGGGTTTAGTGCTTCATTATGATATGTCACACTGAACCATTCTTTTATTCTTATCCATCCCAGTAGAGATCAGGAAAATGACGGAGTGTACGAACATTCAAGATTTGCTTTTAGAGTGTGATTAAAACATTCATTTTGATCAAATGATGGTATTGGACTGTTAGACTAATGATGGTACTCATTAATTTCCCTCTTATAGAAATGTTTAGTTAAAGTATATGTACTTTCTATTACAATTTTGTGCCTCGTAGACCTGTGGCAGAAAAGAAACAATGAGAATTATGACATGCTGCCTTGCTTGGTGCCAAAGATTTAGCAACTATATTTGTGTGACTGTCCCTTGTAAAATAGGGTTTGGCAGTATTATATAATTATGTGAAAAATTTATAATTTTGTAAGGAATGAGTGTATTTAATGGTTTAACAGGATTTTATAGTATAGCTTATGTAAAAACTTCCATATTATATAATTCCTCTTGGCACCATGTTTTATATTATGCTTTTTGGCACAATATAAAACAGGACTGATTCTACATATGGTTTTAGAAAACTTACCTTCTGGGTTTTCTTAAGTCATTTTAATACAGCAGGTAAGTTTATAATACTTGAGCATTACATTTTAATGTGTGGGACATATTAACATCAGGAAGTCCTTTGGTAAAGTACACTTGCCTGCACCAAACCTCCGAGTGAAGGACAGCACCTCCCATATGGCTGGTCTGTCCTTGTCAATAAACTAAAACTATCTTTAAGGTTATCAAATCTTGTTAGAAATTAGTAATGCATATTTAATGTAAAGAAGTGCCTTTGAATAAGTATTCTTTGATGTTAGTGTTCATAGGATAAATGATGTTAAAACTTTTAATAAAATATTTAATGTATTTGTAATCCATGAGTTTGCTTGTTCCCTAATGACAGTTAAAAAATTTTATACAGGACAATCGTTAAAAGCACCCACATACCTACTTAAGCAACATGTAGTAAACTTGAGACATTAGATAGTTTAAGAAATTCCTAAATATAAAAATCTAACGAGTGGATAAAAGCAAAAATTGTGTAAATGCTACCAAAGCAGTGCTGTATAACTTGTATGGATTAATTAATCTGATTACCTCATTTTTTCCAGGTTCTCCATAACCCCTACAGATTTAGCACTTCTCCATGAATGAAATCATTTCCAGGAACTATGTAGTATATCAAGACTACTGCTAAATGCTGAAAACTGTACTACATATTGTACCACATTTAAAAAAAAATATGCAAGTAAAAAAAGGCTTATGGAAACTCACAATAGAGAACTACCATTATAAGGTACTAATGTGAGAGTGATTCATCAGATGCAGGTGTGTGTGTGTGTGTGTGTGTGTGTGTGTGTGTGTGTGTGTGTGTGTGTGTGTGTGTGTGTGTGTGTGTGTGTGTGTGTGGTGTGTGTGTGTGTGTGTGTGTGAAAAAATTCAATAATTGTATATGAAGAGACTTACTGTACTAGAAACTTACAACACTTAACAGCCTTGGCCCCATGAATTTCTTGGCCTTTGTAAAGATTTTTACTAGGCGCATAGCTAGTACGTGTACATCAGGTATACCTTAGTCCTTTTCATCAAGCATAACTTGCTTCCTTTAATTGCTATATGGTTTGACCACTTTGCAAGTACAGTATAATAATGAATGGTATAAACCTTGGTAATAGATACCGACAAATTAGTTAAGAAAGACACTTGTGCAAACACTAGGACATATTTATTAGGAAATACTTCGGACTGTGACATTCTCTAATGTCCTAGTGTTCGCTTATGTATCTTTCTAAATAATAATAATAATTAGTTGCAGAGTTCATGCTTGTGTGCTGCATTACCTTTTTCAACACTAATGTTATACCTACTTTCCCTACAGTATACTTCATGTGTACATCAGTTACAATACAAGTGTCAGTTGCACATTTTTTTTTTAATTATTGCACCATCAAAATCTTGCTAAGTAAATATGAAATTAATAATTGACTTGTTAAAAATTAATATAGTAGCTACCTCTAGTATATTCGTATGGAAGATGGAATGTATCTTATCACCTTAATACTACAGTAAATGTTTATCTGAAAATGGAAGAGATGATTAGCAAAGAATATATTTGATATTTGCTACCAACATAGTACAGTACATTTTATTGAAATACTATGCACCATACTGATAATCAATGCAAACAAGCTTATAACAAATAGCTAGCTATAAACATCTTTAATGTTTATAATCTCATACCACAAAATTTCAGCTAGCAAAAAAAATGAAGTAAACAATATAAATCATAATGCCTAAGGCCAATATCAACACTGAGAGCACCATAGCAATGCGGTTTTCCCCACGAAGACTACGAAGATTTTTCTCATGTTGTGAAAGATGTGTTTTAATGTCCTTAACCTCCTTCTCAAGACGTTTTTTCTCTTCACTTGGGTAGTGGCGGCGCCTCAGCTTTGTCTCTATAAAGTCTAGCCTGCAATCAAAGTTTTAGTATTACAATAATTGCAAATGCATTTTTTTTAACACTGGCTGTCTCCCATTGAGGCAGGGTGACCTGTAAAAAGCAACATTCTCACCATCATTCACACTATCGCTGTCTTCTCATAGGTGCACAGATACGACAGTTCAGATGTCCCTCCAAACAGCAAACATCCCAAACCCCTCCTTTAGAGTGCAGGCAACGTACTTCCCACCTCTAGGACTTGAGTTCGGATAAACAGTTTTCCTGAATCCCTTCACAAAATATGTACTTTGCTCACACTCCAGCAGCTTGTCAAGTCCCAAAAACTATTTGTCTCCACTCAGTTCTATCGATACACTTTACTCTACTGTATATTACCATTTTTCTACAAGGGTGAAGACATTTTGAACAGTAATTGTACGAGGAAAAAAAAACTTAGACCTGCATTTTCCCAAACCTTACCTAAACACGTGTTATGAGGATAATATTGCCTACCATTGTGATCCAAGCTCATCCACATTTATACTGTACAGAGTACTATTGTAAAATGCTGCATATATCAAACCCAGAAGGAGTCAGCATTATGTTAATACATTATCATCTCAAGTAATGACTAAAATATTTACACTAATAAAATTTTTACAGTATATATTTTTTTACAATACAGTGATATATTAAAAGAAAAATGCAGTAAAAGGAAAACAAAGTTGATGGTTATAATGCCAAATACAATATACAAAAAAAAATTTATAACAAAATTTCATAATACACATGAGAAACAAATGAGCTTGTATACACTTCAGATTATTCTATGCAATATAAATTTTTGTTTTCTGATTACTAGGCAAAACAAAGCTTGGTCAGATAATCAAAATTTTTCCTGTGGCCCATTGATTTTATTAATTTTTTTTAAATATTTTAAAATCTAAATTCATGTTTCACATGTCACTGCTTTCTTCCAAAATACATTGTGTGAAAGAACATACAGACAAATGTCATAAAAAATTTCACGATGTACACCCAGAAATGAAGTTAATTTGAAAAACTAAAAAAATATGTTATCTAACCTCTCATAGCATTCCTTAATTTCTCTAGATGTATCTTCAAGTTGGTTCATGACAGATGCCATGTGTCTGCCAGACTCAGCTGTGTCCGTCATGCTGGACCTGTTGGATGTCATTTTAAACCAGATGAAGCATAATAATAATAATAATCTTTATTTCTACATGTACAACTTATACAGACCATAGTTGACATCAGTGACATACTACAAAGAAAGCCCCTTATTATGCTGAGCATTTCAGGCAAATTAGGTCAATTTTGTCTCCAGGATGCGACCTACACCAGTCAACTAACACCCAGGTACCTATTTTGCTGATGGGTGAACATGGACAGCAGGTGTCTTAAGGAAACAAGTTCTAATGTTTTCACCCGTACTGGGGTGCTATAATGAACTTCAGTAACACAAAGCTTACCCTTGACTCTGACCTTGATCTTATAAGGCACAAGATGATTTTTCCAAGCATTTTCTCAAGGAAAAAAAATAGGCACGCCTTATTTATTGGTATTATGGGACATGAATTCACGAACATTATTCTTTTAATCGATTTGAAGTGTTCAATCAAAAAGGCTTGTGCAGTGCCTTTAAATCAGGCTTGATCTTCGAACAGGAAGGTTAGCTCAAGGCACCTTGAAAGTAGTCTGAAACAAACTCTTCAACATCAAGGCACCTTGAAGGTAGGCTGGATCAAGGGCCCTTCACCATCACCAAAGTGACACCATGGAGGAGGTTGGATCAAGAACTCTTCACTAGCATCATGAAAAAATTTTAGCTCAAGATTGATTCGCCAGTATCAAGAGATCTAATCAAGAGCCCTTCAGCAACCCAGGTAAGGAAGTTGGATCAAGCGTTCATCAGCATTAAGACACCACCTTTGAAGGGTGTAAAAATATAACCAGACTCAGAGTTCAAGCTTGGGCTCCTTCCTACAGTGATGCCGTGGCCTGGTTGACGACGCACTCTCCTCACACGTTGAGTGTTCGTGGTTCAATCCCCGGCACGGGTGGAGATGCTGAGCATATTTCCTTACACCTGCTGTCCCTGTTCACCTAGCAGTAAGTAGGTACCTGGGTGTTAGTTGACTGGTGTGGGTCGCATCCTGGGGACAAAATTAACCCAAGTTGCGAGAAATACTCTGCATAACCAGGGTCTTTTTTATATATTATGTCAATGATGTCAACTATGGTCTGTATAAGTTATATCATGTACTTGTAGAAATAAAGATCATTATTATTATTATTGTAACATCATTAAGGGTACAGACTATGCGGCGGAAATATGTATACTTATTTATTGAACTCTCTTGGGTTACCTTAAGTTTAATTCTACAGAATTTACTATATAAAATCATTACACAAGTTTAAAATTACGTGAGAAGAGCAAAAATAAACTTACTGAGGTGAAGAGTGGCACCTTGTTGTTGGGGTTTTAAAGGGCAACTAACAGCTTAGGCCGCAATAGGCCTAACCCCCCCCCCCTTCATTATCAAGGCACCCAGGTGTCCAAGAAGATAATAAGTAAGTTTATTTAGGTACATGAACATATAAATACATTACACTAATTACCATACATAAGTAACATGTGTAAATTACCTAGGATAACCCCCCCCCCCAAAAAAAAAAAAGTGACCGAATGGCTTATTTCCATTGGTGTCCTTATAGTGGCCAAGTACAAGCAGTCAAGGACAAATGGGTCAAGTATCGTTAAATAATGACGGGAATAAATGTTCATAATTAAGTAAGATGAATCTCCTGTGTAAACCCCAGCAGGGTGTCAGCACCATAACTGAGTCACTAACCGGCTGGAAGACTCAGATAATGAATATGATCATTTCTTGTGAGTTCTCCACCTGTCCTCAGTCTGATTACCTGGTCTTTGATTGTTGTCTTCCTCCTGATGTGGCTATACAACAGTTTCGGGTCAATCTTGATTTTCGATGCTATGTTATTTTCATACTGTCGCTGGGCCTCCTTACCTGTGCATACTCGTTCCTGGCTCTGCGACTAATCTCCCTATTTTCATGTGTTCTCTGTCTTCTGTACGTTTTCCATTCTCTATTGCACTTTGTTTTTGCCTTCTTACACCGTCGGGTAAACCAGGGGCTCGTTCTGGTCTTCCCATTGTTTCTGTTGCCCTTGGGAATAAACCTTTCCACTGCCTCCCTGCATTTTGTTGTTACATATTCCATCATTTCGTTTACTGGCTTTCCTGCCAGTTCTCTGTCCCACGGAACCTCCTGCAGGAAGTTCCTCAACCCTATGTAGTCCCCTCTTTTATAGTCAGGCCTTTCCCATTCAACTCCTGTTACTCTCTCCACTTGCAACTCTACTATGTATTCAAAGCACAGAACCATGTGGTCGCTAGCTCCTAGGGGACTCTCATACGTGATGTCCTCAATGTCTGAACTGCCCAGGGTGAACACAAGGTCCAATCTTGCTGGTTCATCCTCCCCTCTCACTCTGGTAGTGTCCTTAACATGTTGGTGCATGAGGTTTTCCAGCACCACGTCCAACATCTTGGCTCTCCATGTTTCGGGACCCCCATGTGGCTCCAGGTTTTCCCAGTCAATCTCCCTGTGGTTGAAATCCTCCATAACCATCAACTTTGCTCTGCTGGAGTGAGCTCTTCTTGCCACCTCAGCGCTGTATAGCCCTTGTGGCGTAGCGCTTCTTTTTGATTATAATAATAATTGCCACCTCAGCAAGTGTGTCCACCATTGCTCTGTTGCTGTCTTCATACTCCTCTCTTGGCCTCCTGCAGTTCTGTGGTGCATTATACATCACTGCAATGACCACCTTGTGCTCCCCAGACTGAAGTGTACCTACTAAGTAGTCCCTTTCTCCCGTCTCGTCTATGCCTCCCATTTCCTCAAATTTCCATCTGTTTTTTACTAGCAGAGCAACCCCTCCCCCTCTGCCCTGTGGAAATTATTTAATTTCCGAAGCTATAGTGCCTAATAAGTGTTTAATGTGTTGATTTGGGTCAAAATGTATTTGTATTTTGAATGGAACCAACTGGGTTCCCGCTGTGCCTGCACAGATGTGCGGGGGTATAGGTCGAACTGGGGCATGAGGTGGCGGGAGTGTTTTGAATGTAGTGAGGAGGCTGGGAAAGCATGGAACCAGGAAATTGGCGTTCACGGCATCCTAAGGATTAATATAGGCCTCATTTCATAACAGGAAGTGTCGTAACTGTTCCTGGTGGAGAGTGAGGGAACGTGATTTATGGGACCACCGTAATAGAGTGGTAAAATGAGTGAATAAGGGTAGGACCGGGTGACTGGCGCATCGCCATGGACTGTGTCCCAGGGAAAATTACCCTTGGTTTAATCATCACTCATCGGTCTCAGATCTTAATGGAGTGATCTCTAATGTGTATAATAATTATGAGACATTAAATCGTCTTGTGAATTGTAATGTAATTAATGATAACGCTAAGTTAAGAGAATGCGTGAAGTGAAATAAGTCGCCTTGCTTCGAGTGAACACGCAAGACCACGTTGTTCCCGTCACGAGGAAAGTGAAGTTCATTGAGTCATGACTTCTAAACCGGGACAAACCAACGGATACCTCGTCCTGCTGGAATGAGAACCATGTTGGTGTAGCAGGACATCGAAATGAGATGGTGAATGGAGGAAATAAGGAGTATCAATCACCCACAGTTAAGTAACCCTTCTAGTTATAGCAGACTGATACTGGCCAGTTAGGTATGTTGTAATTGGATAGGTTATGGGTGATCCAGCTACATCAAGTGACCCCCAGAGAATATCTGGTAAGTGGTGGGATTATATACAAATGTTTTTCTTTGATGGATATATCCATGTGTAACCTACCCCCCCCCTTCATTCAGTTACACTAATATAATCTATACAGTCCACAATTAATTAGTAGCGCCGTACTTGTGGGTGCTATCCAATCTATACTGGTCTCGGATAGATATGGATAAGATTGTGAGGTCGAAGGCCCACCTCCAGCGACCAGAGGTGGTGAAGTTTTCTCACATATCTACACGGGGTGACTACGGTAAACAATATAGGGTTGTCTCCCAATGAGATTACTTGTATGTATATAATGTTGAGGTACATAAAGGTAATCACCCCTATAAAATTTTCCACATGCCCCTTCTATCTTTCCTCATGATCTGATATCCTGGTGGGAAGATTGCATCTGTTATTGTCTCCATGAGTTTTGTTTCTGTAACTGCTATGATGTCTGGGGACTTCTAATTGATTCTTTATTGCCATTCTTCATGTTTATTCGTTAATCCATCCACATTTGTGTACCAAACCTTCAACTTCTGTTCTAATACTGTAACTGTGGTGCGGGGGGTGCGAACAGAGGGATCGGTGTGTGATGGTTGGTTTGGATTGTTCAGTTGCCTTGGGGGTGTCGTGGCTGGAGTCCTTCTGCAGGTGTTTCTGGGGGGTTTGGTTGTCCTTCCACTTGTTCCTGGGTTATTCTGCTCTCCTTTTTCATTTCCTCCCATTTCTCCTTTCGTTTTTGCACTCTCTCTTTCAGCATCCTCCTTTCCTCCTGTGTTCTGTCTCGATCGAGGTACACACTCATGAACTCCTGTTTGCCTCTCAGCCATGCTTTCTTCTGCAGGATCATGGTTCAGGTTGATTCTGCCTTGAAAATTACTTTGAGAGGCCGATTCCTTTTCTTTGTGAACCACCCGATTCTCTGAAAATTTGTCATGTCCTCCTCGCCTATCACCTTCATGACACCTTCAATCGCTTTTTTCTCCTCCTGCTTTCTTTCATCATAAGTTTCCCCTTTAGCTTCGTCTAGCCCATAGACAAAAACTGATCTCTCCCTTTCCACCTCCCACTGTGACTCCAATTGCGTCCTCTGAGGTGTTTTAGTTCCTTCCCCTGGAGTGTTCCTTCCTTCAGTCCCTTCCCTAGCCATGGCCTCTATGCTCATTGGTTTGTCCTTCCTGCTCACCTGTTCCTGGCCCCCACAGGTGTCTAGTAAGGTCCCTGAACATGTCCTAGTTCCTTCAATTTCTTCCAACCTCTCATTCTGTCCTAGTGTGCTCCCTGTCTTTGTTTTGGCCCCATGTGGGTTTGACAGGACCTCTGCATACAGTTTAGCTTCCGTGCTCCCTTCAGACCCGTTGTCTGTGTCTGATGTTGCCATTGTTGATGCTACTTCTGTAATATCTTTGTCTCTATGCTGTTTCAGATGTCTCAGCTCCTCTTCTAATCTCTGTATCTTGTTTTCTGCTGCTGCAACATGTTGCTTCCACCTTCTACATTCTGCTGCTAATCTCTCCTCCATCTTCCTTGCAAGCTCATCTAGCCTCCTTCCCCAGTCTTCCTCCCTTTTTTTGAGCTCTGCCTCCCAGTCCTCCCTCCCATATTCGTCCTTCGGGCCCCTTGTTCTCATCCTAGTTCTAGTTTCCCCCATTGCTCCACAGAAGGAAGGGGGAGAGGTGGTTAGGGGGAGTGGGGATGGATGGTTATGGGGGAGGGGGAGGATGGTTATTGGAGGGGGAGAGGTGTGTGTGTGTGTGAGTGTGTGTGTGTGTGTGTGTGTGTGTGTGAGTGTTTGTGTGTGTGTGTGTGTGTCTGTGTGTGTGTGTGTGTGTGTGTATGTCTGTGTGTGTGTGTGTGTGTGTGACTCAACAATCAATATTTGCACCAATAACTCATTACAGTTGTGACCGGGTGTGGAATGTGAATTGCTCAGTACTCTATAATTTGTTCATGATTGTAGCCATGTATAAACGTAAGTAACCATTCTTACAGGATTCATTACCTTTGTAACTTGTAAGTTCATTACCTTTGTACCTAGTTCAGTTATCAAAACTTTGGGGGCCCAGTCCCTGGACCCATTATGTACCTCTGTAATCTTTTGACTACCGCCCACAGGATGGGTATGGGGTGCATAATAAAGATATTAAACTAACTTATTAATAATAATATAATAATTTTATTTACTACTAGTACATGCACAAGGTATACAGACCATAGTTAACATCAATGACATACTACTATATAGAAAGCTGCTTGTTATGCTGAGCATTTCCTGCAAATTAGGTCAGTTTTGCCCCAGGATGCGACCCACACCAGTCCAATGGAAATAAGTTAAAGGACACCAACGGTAATAAGTCACTCTGTCTGACTTTTTTTGGTTATCCTGGGTACTTTATACATATGCTGCTATGTATGATAATCTATGTAACTGTATTTGTGTATACCTGAATAAACTTACTTATACTAACACCCAGGTACTCATTATACTGATGGGTGAACAGAGACAGCAGCTGTCTTATGGTAACACATCCCTAATGTTTTCCAGCCGTACTGAAGGAGATTCGAACCCCAGACCTCAGTGTGTGAGCTGAGTACACTAGTGATCCAGCTACGGGACACCTATACATCACCTGTTTACCACCAAGGTAGGGTGACCTGAGAAAAAGAAATACTTTCATCATCATTCACTCC